TTTTGTTGCTTTATTTTCCTTCAGCCCAAAAAGTTTTGGCAACAGATTTAGTCATTAGATTTTGTTGCTTTACTTTCCTTCAGCCCAAAAAGTTTTGGCAACAGTTTTAGTCATTAGATGTTGTTTCCTCAACTCTCCTCACAAAAATATTTTGTCCACAGGTTTAGTCATTTAGAATTTGTTTCCTCACTTTCCTGTTCCTCTTCCTTTTCCTTTTTCCTGTTCCTCTTCCTTTTCCACTTCCTCTTATTTTGTTTTGTGAAAAAATATTTCCACTATGATAGATACAAATCTAGTGGATTCAAAACCCTTGTGCAAAGGGATCACAAACATCTACAGATACACTTGTGACCAACCCCCTTTTGACAAGGGGATGTAAGACTCCAAATGTAGCCCTTTTGGCAAGGGCTTACAGAGCTCAACCCACCTAGGTTCCATCCAGCCCACCTTGCACAGTTTTTTTTTCAAGGCCTAGTGGTCATGTTGGAATGTCCAATTCCCTTTTCTCAAGGGATATTGAAACACACTCCTTTCATCAAGGAGTTATACAATCCTTTTCTCAAGGAGTTTTCTTTCCTTTTTATCAAGGAGTTCTTTTGCATTCACTCCTTTTGAATTCAGAGGTTGTACCAAGGAGTGTTTTGAATTCATACTCCTTTTCTCAAGGAGTTCACTTGCTTGTGCCTTTGCCAATGAACACACAAAATGGATTTAATTAATATGTTTCTTATGTTTTTATTCAATGAATTCATTTGCTTGGGCCCACAAAAATGAACAAAGTATGTTTATTATGTTTGCAACACACTCCTTTTCTCAAGGAGTTGCAAAGCACATGCAAGCATGGTGAGACACTCCTTTTCTCAAGGAGTTTGCTTGCACTCCTTTTGTCAAGGAGTTCATTTGCTTGTGCATTTACCAAACAGTAAACAACTAGTCTTTGCTTTGGGGGGGAGCTTAGGCTTTACACAACATTGGTAACAGCACAAGCAATGTGAAACACTCCTTTTCTCAAGGAGTTTTGCTTGCACTCCTTTTATCAAGGAGTTTGCACCATCCTTTTGTCAAGGAGTTGCCATCAGGACCATCCTTTTGACAAGGATTCAGGACTTGCCAAAGTCCTTGAGGACTGCTTCCACAGGCTCTGGCAAGTCCCTGTAGGTGTTGTTGCACCAGTTGTGTGCAATTCTTTTTGGTCCTGATGGCATAGACTGGGTAGGACAGCTGCTCTGCCTCCCAGAGGATGCCATCATCATCATCATCATCAATCAGGGCATCCAGGTGCAACCTCTGGCACCACTTCACCTTTCCCTCATCACCACACTTCTCCCTGGTGAACTTCACACATGTGAAGGGGACTGGGAGGCCTGCCAGCTCCTGCCTCACTTCCTGCTCCCTGTTGTGGCCACAGAAGCAGCACAGGAAGAGCTTCACCCCAGCCCCAGCCAGCTTTTGCAAGGCTATGATGTTGGCTGGGAGCACATCATCCTTCATCCTGATGGTCTGGTACCAGTCCACAGCCACCCTCAGGGTGTCATCAGTCTTGGGCCTCCACCTCACATTGGTGTTGGATGACCTCCAGCCCTTGGGCTGCCAAGCCCTTATGGGAAGGGGCTGGCTGCTGGCGCTGCTCCCTTTTGCCAAGGGATCCATATCTGCATGTTCCTTGCTCCCTTTTGGCAAGGGTTCAGCCAGTGGTTCAGATGCCTGCCCTTTTGACAAGGGCTCAACAGCAGCCTCAGAAGGCTTCTCTTCTGCCATCTCTGCAGCCCCTTTTGCCAAGGGGTTTCCATCCTCACCATCAGGCTGCTTTTCAACCCCTTTGTCCAAGGGATCTTCAGCACCAGGCTTCTGTTCACCCCCTTTTGCCAAGGGGTCATCATTCTCACCCCCTTTTGCCAAGGGGTCATCATTCTCTTCACCCTTTTTTGCAAAGGGCTCAGTCTCTTCAGCCCCTTCTGCCAAGGGCACACCATGCTCTTCATCCCCTTTTGACAAGGGTTCAGCTTCCATTGGTGCACTCTCATCATGCCCTTTTGCCAAGGGCTTGTCACCATTCTCTTCATCTCCTTTGGCCATGGCCTCTTCTGCCAAAGGCTCATCTGTCTCTTCAGTCCCTTTTGACAAGGGTTCTTGCACCTGTGCAGCCTCATTCTGCTCAACCCCTTTTAGCAAGGGGTCAGCACCCACTGGCACCTCTCCTTGTTCAGGCCCTTTTGGCAAGGGCTCAACCTCCATTGGTGCCTACACCTCTTCCTTGGGCTCAGTCTGATCAAACCCTTTTGGCAAGGGTTCAACCTCCATTGCAGACTGATCTGCCCAGTCAACCTTCTCTTCTTTTAGGGTTGACTGAGCACCCTCAGCTGGTGCTTCTTCAACCCCTTTTGACAAGGGCTCTTCATCCTTCTTATCCCTTTTGGCAAGGGGTGGCTGCACTGGCCCTGAGCTGCTGCTTGAGGTGCTGCTGTATGCCTCACTGCTACTCTCAGCAGCTGGCTTGGGTGCAGCAGGTGCTGCTGGAGGTGCAGCAGGCTGCTGGGGTGCTGCAGCAGCTGCAGCAGGCTGAGGCACAGCAGCAATTACCCTTGCCAGTGCCTTTCTTCTTCGCTTTTCCCTCCTGACAGTTCCCAGACCAGCAGGCCTGTTCTTGTTGTTCCTGAGGTCTGACTGACCATCCCAGGCATCCCAGTTGGCCATGCCCCTTTGGTCGAGGGGTTAGCCTCAAACCCTTTTGTCAAGGGTTGGAGGCTCACCCCTTTTGTCAAGGGTTTGGAGCTTACCCTTTTGTCAAGGG